GATCGGCAATTGATAAAACTAGAATGGTCGAATAGTACGAATAGTCAGCGAATAGTCGACGAATAGTGCGAATAGTCCGCGAATAGTCGACGAATAGTCCGCGAATAGTCGACGAATAGTACGAATAGTCCGCGAATAGTCGACGAATAGTACGAATAGTCGACGAATAGTGCAATAGAGACTTTGCAAGGCTTTCCACCGTGCTGTAGAACTAAATTTACCGAAGCGGGGGGTGGGGCTCTATTGACAAACATGAAATCGTGAAAACATTCGTTGATGTCAATGACGTCATACGTAATCGGTAAAAATTACGGGACCAACTACGGATCTGAGTTTTAACAAATATTTAACAGGAAGTAGAATGACAATCAGTGGCGCCGTGGGACCCATGTTTTTTTTTGGGGGGGGGGCAAGGGCAGTACTTTTCCGACAAACCGAAAAATTTTTCCGACAAACCAAAAAGTTTTCCGGACGACAACATTTTAAATCTTCACTCCCCCCCCCCGTCGACAACTTTGACAATTTCCGACAGCCTTGACAATTTTCCGACAATTTCCGGCAGCATTGGCAATTTTATGACGGGTGTCAACAATAGGGGAGGGCCATGCCCCCCCCCGGCCACTGCACGGCGCCACTGATGACAATCACTAGACGTATGACGTCATTGACGTACGTCGACGAATGTTTTCACGATTTCATGTTTGTCAACAGAGCCCCCCCCCGGTAAATTTAGTTCTACAGCACTGCTGCAAAGCCTTGCAAAGTCTCTATTGCACTATTCGTACTATTCGTCGCCTATTCGTGGACTATTCGTACTATTCGTCGACTATTCGCTGACTATTCGTACTATTCGTCGACTATTCGCGGACTATTCGTACTATTCGTCGCCTTTTCGCGGACTATTCGCACTATTCGTCGACTATTCGCGGACTATTCGCACTATTCGTCGACTATTCGCGGACTATTCGCACTATTCGCTTCGACTATTCTAGTTTTATCAATTGCCAACTAGGATTCTGGGACACTCGAGTCGACCACCGAAGTTGGTGGTCGACTCGATGACCGAAGTTCCAAGAAAATGTTGGATTTCTTGAATCTCAGATAAGCTACTTCCAGCATTTTGAGGAATTTTCCAACAAGAAATTAACCTTGCAAGGCAACACGGTGTGATGATGCGGTAATGAAAATGTGCGTGGTATAGTATTATTCACCACACTTCAAATTAAATCGACGCATTCGTCTTCTCAGTGTCACTGAAAGAGCAAGATAGGGTGATCTCTTTGGAGTATCTTTGCTTGGAAAAACTAAACTAGAATTGAATTCGCGTTATTCGCCCTAAAATGCCATTTCATGCCTTGTTCCAGTCATGGTTTAGGTTTCTGGCGATGTTTAAATTTCAGTCTCCAAATTCTGATCTACCGAGTCAACTGACTCGGTTGACTCAGCTAGTTACGGGCCTGCAGATGATGGTAAAATTTTGAAATGTTAACAACTTAAACATCATTTTCTCACTTTGGTACATAATTGCTGGTTGACCACATACTGCAGGTAGTTCTTTGGGGACAAAATTGCCGACTGGAGGGGCCAGTAAGAGGGCTGGGGGGGACATGTCCCCCCCAGTCCGTGTGTTAAAAGAGGCCCTGGAAAGGTTTGACTCCATCAAATTTGTGATGGAAAAACTGAACGCTTACAAGGTGAAAAGGTCCAAATACTTCTTTTTCTTTAAATACAAAATAGTATAAAATACAAAATAGAAAAAAAATAGAAATAGTACAAAATAAATACAAATAGTATAAAAATACAAATAGTACAAAATAGTATTTTTAGTTCCCAAATAAGACAAAAATTCTGGGAATCTAACTTTGTAATTCTCAATCATTCAGGCCATGAATTACCAAAAAAAACATGCTTACCCCTCGTTTAAGGAAATTTTACTAAATCTGAGGAATTTTTTACCGAGAATCTAAGGAATTCCAGGCAATGGGAAATGAGAGCACTGGCACTGGTTCGCAATCAATCTCTATGTTCGCAATCGCAATGCAAACTACTATTTACTTTCACTTTCCGAAATTTGGAAGGTTCAGCTGTGACTGGTCTGTTGGAGGAAGGGCGCACGGAATTGTTTTACCAGCCGACAGTTTTGTTGGCGAGCCATGGAGCCATAACAACGTCTGGAAAGGAGACTAAGAAGGTGCAAGATGCCTGTGAGTTGCTTGCAAAAATTACATTTTATTCTGTAGGGCAATGTTTTACTTTAATTTTGACGTATATGAACGTGTTTGTGCTATTGTTTAGTAATATGAGTGAAATCTAGACGAATTTCTGTTGTGTAGTTATTATTTGCTGAGTGCCCGAACACATTTTGAACACGTCACATTGTAAAATATGTGAGGCTATCAAATGAATGAATTCCTTGTACAGTAAACACGAAAAGTAATTCGTGTTTACTGGAAATGGAATTGTAAAATCGTTACCATCTTTAAAATTGTGAACAGGGAAGTGGGGGAATCGGGGAGTGGGGTAACCAAGAGTACAGGAAGTGGCAATCTCGTTCCCGAGCCTGCGATCCTCGGGAAGGAATGTGAGGCTCTGGGATAATCCGTTTCAGGGAGGAATCTGATTGGCCGTTGAAATGGAATGCGTAGTTCAATCTTAGCCAGGATTCCTGGCTTCCGGCAACAGATTATCCCAGATTATTCCGACCTTATCTATTTTTAGCCCCCCTGTGCAAAATTCCCTGGTTCCTATGCTAGTGGGGTGGTGAAATGTTAAAACAGGCTAACCAAAGGAAATGAGGGGGAAAGAGGGAACAGCAAATCATGAACTGAGGGATGTGGAAACTAGACTATGGGGAGGGAAGAACTAGCTAGGGGATGGTGAATCAGGAATATCAAGGTCATTCCAGAAAATATCCACAGTCCACACTCTCCCCACAGAGGAATTTCTGCTGTTCTGAGGGGAGGGAAGAGAAACTTTTTTCTGATAATAGAAGTGTATTTATTTAGGACATCAGAAAGGGGTTAACTTCCAATTTTCTCCTTGAGTTGGGGGAGGTACGGATGTTTTCTGGAATGACCCAATCAGAGAAACTTAGAATAAGAAATGAGAGAAAAATAGAAAGTAACCTTTCTGCCATTTTACTTTGGAAAAATAGAAAGTAACCTTTCTGCCATTTTACTTTGTTGGCAAACATATTATGGCATATTCACATTCACTAATCCTTAATAATTATTTAACATATTTTGCTTAAAAGTGTACATTTTGCAAGTGTAACACATCCATTGTAGACATTGTGCTGGGTACTATTTTTGTCTCTTTATTATAATAATACTTATTAAGATCTTTTAAAAAAATTTGTGTGCAACATATATCAATAAAAGTTTTTTGACAACAAAGTTTGCACTTTATATTTACCAAGAATTTTAAATATGCAATGTGAGTAATTTTACAATTTAATTACTGTAATTAATAGTTTTTATACTTAAAAATATTTTAATTAGATATTGATATAAAGCCTGTGACAGTGGCAGAGAAATACGCATGGGGGTTAGCATGCACGATACTGTGAATACAGACTATTATAATAGTTTAAGATACAACAGTGGTGTAGCCTAAGTCAATTATGGGGGCTCTGACAAGGATGACAAAGTGGCGAAGTTGATGTATTTCTGCAAATTTTGCATCTTTTTGAAATTGTGATCTATGCAAAACCTAACCCTCACTATAAACCAACAACCCTAATTGCCAGTATATAGCCGCATCAAAGCAGACCTTGAACTTTGAGAGGTGCAATTGCTCACCCCCACTTTGGCTTCCCTTTTTTCTCTAAAGAGAGTGATTTTTCACGCACCTTAGGCCATTTTAGTTGAAAATTTGACAACAAAATATTTCCAGTTGATCAGAGTTTTGATGTACACAGCGAGAGAGGTTCTTGCATAAATTAAAGAGATTGCACCTTATACCTTCAACAGATATAAAGTGTTGACTGTTAGTAATTTTGGTTGCTCATAATTTTATAGTTGTACAAGGATTTACTTCACTCAACTTTGAAAGAAGAGAAAAGGAAACATAAATTAAAGAGGCTTGTACAATCACCCAACTCTTACTTCATGGATGTGAAGTGCCCAGGTATGTGGTCTTGCATGTGACTAAAAAGATTTCCGAGGGAAGTATAGCTGTTGCACCTCTAATTCCACTATGATTTACTATACTTTTGATTTTAGATGCAAAACATGTATAGATCTGCCAACTTGTGTATGATAAAATATTGTTGGTTCTTTTACATGCAACAGTTTCAAATCAGATCTTAACAATAGATCTATAGCTAATTTGACCTCTTGCTATTATCATTGTCTACTGGCTACTATAATTCTACCACAGATCATAGTCAATGACAATGAGAGATTTTATCATTACCTTTTTGAGAGGCCTGGATCTCTAAGATTTCTTTCAAATAATTAAGCCATATATTTTGGATAATGTGTGTGTAATCTAATGGCTGCCAGTGTTATGTTTTAGGATGCTACAAGATAAACCTTGTATTTAGTCATGCATCGACAAGTCCTGTCCGGTGTCTCAGATGTTCAGCTATCTTGGGTTGGCCTACTGGAGGTAAAGTGAGATTGATAGAAGGTGGGTATTTTGTTTCTTTTCATTTACAATGTATTAGGCTGTAAGAGTGCACGGAAATATCTCTCCAAGAATTGCATATTCAAAATGGCTTACAGAATAATTAGCAGATAGATGCAGTGCCAGTCAGTGGTGAATTCACTGATTTTGTTTTTTCCTATTTCTTTCAGGCAGTTCATTCAGGAAGAAACAACAGTAAATAGTCATTTAATAAAAATTGTAATAGAATATTAATCACCATCAGCTGGTTGTCTTTTTTATGCTGCACACAACTTGAACTTCCATCTGCCAATGCGAATGTAACCCTCACTCATGACTCAGCCAAGATATCCGTTTCAGAGCAGAGACGCAATTTATTCGTCTGGACGTATGCGTCTTGTATATCAAGACGGGACAAATAATCCAACGAATGCACAAGACGCATTATGCGTCTAGACAAATGATATCGACTGTGGCGTCTCTTCAGAGGAAGAACCGAACATAGTAAGTTGTCTACAATCCGTGGGAAAAAATTTTCTTTTCAAACTTTGCCCCCCTCCCCCCTCTACAATGTTGGTAATTACATAATGATATGTTTTGCAAATCCACTTCACCTGAACAGACATTGTTATGGGGGGGGGGGGGAGGGGGCACTCCAAGACAAATAGTTGTTTCGATTTAAAAAGTACTCATTTTCATTACATGTCGTTAAATTTGGATATAAAAAGTCTACGGATATTTTTTCCAAGATTTTAGACGCATAATGGTCTTGTGCCGGCTATTAGTAAAACACGGAGCAGTAGAAAAACCAGAATCCTTTATGATAAAATACATTGTTTACTATTACAAATTTTTAGTGTTATTAATAAAGCTTTTTCGCGTTTTGCACGTTGGGGAAGTAAGAAAATGGGGGTTTTAAAAAACACTTGTGATTATATTTCAAACACGCCGCGCTGTGTTACTGAATAGGATTGTGAAACTCGACGAGTACTTGGCTATTGGGCAAATAGTGATAGCCACGACTACTTGGCTATATAAAAGGGGCACTCTTGTATATAACCAAAATCAAACGATTTTATAGCGTTCAGGAGCCAAACGAAAATTTTTGAAAATTTGGAGTCTCTATAACGTCGGAAATGGCCTTTACAGAGTCTTTACTACTGCAAAAAGGGCACTTTCTTTACAGCAAAAGAGGGCGTTCATTCAAGAAATACTTTTTTCGTTCTTTAATTAAATAGGGCACTTTTTGCACTTTTAATAAAGTGAGGGGGGGGGGGGCATACGCCTCCAATGCCCCCCCTTTCCGCGGCCCCTTGGGTGACGGATGGTCCAGATACTAACACATTTACGTCATGACGTCACAATGACGGCGTATCGGATTACTTGCCAAGCAATAGCCACTGCAGATCCACTGACTGGATATTGTAAAATCGATTAACATAATCTTTATTCCCTTCCCGTATATTTGAACACATCTGTCAAGATTCGTATGAAATAAAACTGTGGAATTTGGTGAGTATGTACGCAGTAGCGTAAACTTTCTGGCATAACATGCCATGCAGCGCTATACGCTATATTTTAAAATGAAAAATAATTTAATTTGAGCGCATTCAATAGCAAATATTTCAGTTATTCAGTAATCTTTCAGTTTCTTTGTAGAACAAGTCAAAAGGGAGGGTATTTGCGCTATAAATATGCTTGTTTGTACTACATGCATTTATCTATTCAATAACAAATATCTAGATTTGCTTCCATTGGGTATAACAGTAACATTGTAACATTGTGCCAGAGATGCACGTGTTGCACGATATTTGAACTTTGGCAACGTGCTTCGGTGCTAGCACAGTTTTGATTTCAGGTTATTAAATGTTGCTAAAACGTTGGTATACCCTAGCCTAGTATCTGCATAAACCTATAAATAATTTGATATATATGAAATTGAAAGTTTGGATTATAATTTGACTGATTCTAATGTCAGTAATGAATTTGTATTCTATTAATACAATGTCTGTCAAATATCTCAGACAATATAAATATAATTGTTTCTCTGAAACAGAGATGAGACCCAATTTATCTTACAGTGTAAAAGCAGTGTGCTACTCCGAGCAAAGTTAAGTCAAAATCTTTGTTGGCTATTTGGCATATTACCCAATGGAACACCAAATAGCATGTATGGTTGAGTACTGTATGTGCCTGGTGGATTGACAGTTAATAGTGGATATTTATAATCAGATGCATCATTAAAACTGCAATATGTTTGACAAAGATTTACTTTTCGCTTTTAAACTCCATATAATCAATTTACCTTGCCTGACCATTTTAGGGATTATTTCAGTAATTAGATAATTTCACAGTAATTACTAAATGAAAGCAACTTCCTGTGGACATAAAAATGGGATGAAATTTAATCTTATGCACAGATAAATCCCCATCTTGAGAGGAAGTGCTTACATGTGCAGTGTGCTTTAAGTTTTGTTGCGGACCGTGGTGCAATTTATGCCTGCATTTTCTTCTGCTAGACATAAACAAGGAGACTGTAAGAAATTTCACAGTTAATCAAGATCATACTTAATCAACATGTATGCTCAAAACCCAGGTAAATATTGTTAATGTTAGCCAGCACTTGAGCAAGCTTGTTGTGAGTGCATTTTTTGTAGTTTGTCTGTATTTCTCGTTTGCTTGTTATTTGTATTGTTATCAACTTATTTGAATCACAAAAATGTGTCTACATGACTACATCAGGTTATAATTGACTAAATCTTGAAAAGGTAGTTGGTAAATATAATATATCGGCAATATCTTGGGTATTGCAAGATGTTAATCTTTGCAATTTGCATTTATATATTGTTCCTTTCTTCATATTATTTGTGAAATGTTCATGTCTGAAAAGAGCATTTGACCTAATCAGCTGAACATCACATGAAACCATTTATACCACAACATTTGAATTAGAATTGAATTGCCAAACACATGCTAAGAGGCAAAATACAAAGCTTTGAAAAATTATCAGCAATTAAATTTCCAACCAGGAAAAGACAAAGGAAATTGTTACCACCATCTGTGTTTTTATATGTGATAAAAAATCATGTTAATTTACATAAATTTTGGCTTTGATTTTCTCAGCTTAGACAACGTTGATTTTCAAAATTACTTTGCCAACGAAGTCATACTGAATGCGTTGTTTTTTAAGCCATTTAAAACACTCTCAGTCATTGCTTTATGAGATAAACATACGGCTTTTGCCCGTGTTTTAGATCTGATAAAGTACTCGTGCTTGTGTTTCAAATGGCACATAATTTTGGGCAAGTTTTAAATAATAAGTAATTAAATCATTTGTATGTGGTTTAGGCTACCCACCGCAAGCAGGAAGTGCATATCCTCCTGGCCCTGGTAATATTGAATTTTTTCTTTTCATGCAAAATTTATCGTTTTTAAAAAGTTTGAATTTTATCGTCCATATTTTATTCAGCTCCTCCGGCAACTTTGTTTGATGCTGTGGCAGGTTATGAGAAAACTGTGTATGGCCAAGGTTTGTGATTACCGTGATGTAGTAAGTCGAGACTATAAGATCAGGTTACTTGAAGTGCGACTAACCACAAACATAATTTTTGGTATGTGTAGTATTTGGGTCATTCTGAGAAGAAATGCATGTAATATATCTACCCTTGTTGATCAACTTTTTCACTGTCAAAGTTCCAGATATGATGTCATTAGGTGATTTTTTGGTACAAAAAAAAACAAAGGAAAACTAACACAAAACAACAGCCTTTCTTCCCCTTGTCAAAATGATTAAATTCACACCATTAAATTTGTGTGTAACATTTAAATTTTAAACAACTTCATTTCACTGTGTCATATTTCAGGTTATGCTCCACCCCCTCCTAGTGCCCCTCCCATGCCAGAAGAGAGACGACCAGATGAAGAATTTGTAAGGTAGGTCAGACATGGTACTGACTACTGAGGCATGTTATCAAATATCATAAATTCTCTATTAAATCTCCTCCCTTCCAGGGATGGATTTGCTGGGGGGGTGTGTGCAGGGGGGGGGGGGTTGCACCCCCAAGCCCTGGCCAGAGGGGGTGCAGGGGGGGTGTGCTATTTTTTAAGATAAAGCAAAAAAGACAAAATGAGATACAGTAATTTGAGTAATAACATGATGATAAGTGAACTGTGAACAACAATTCAAATTCAAATACAGTAGTTGATGGGCGGGCGGCACACATGGCCGACACAACTCGGCAGTTGGCACCAGAGCACCTACCAGATCATACTGGATCCATCCCTGCTCCATCCTCAAATATAAGCCCTCCTCTAATAGCCCCGCATTTGAAGTCCCCTCTGTACCCCCTTCCCCCTATCTTCACAAACAACTGTTGATTACATTTGTTGATGGTCTTACTGTGCCAACTTGTTTCGAAGTCAATTCAGATATATGCTAATATCCGGCTGAAAATATACCTGAAGTAAATAAACCCCATCCATGAAATTCCAGAAGTATACATGTAAATCAACATTTATTGTGCTTGCCATTTGGATCTGATACAAAGATGGGTTGAAATCATATTTGAAATAGCTGTTTTTATGCCCAAATGGACTGTTATTAATTTTGTGTTTTTAGTGGCGCATCGATAACTGCAGAAGAGGCCCAGGATGCAATGGAGAGTTTTGTTGCAACACAATGCTGTTATGGTTCAAGTCCCGCCAAAGAAATGGAGATAAGGGATATTACACCATCCAGTGCTTATCATGTGAGAAACAAATTACAGTGAATAGTTGGTTAATCAATGTAAAATGCTGGTTATCTTCAGTAGGAATATAATATCTGTTTAAATTTCTAGTACAAGTTGACAACATTCACAGAATCTAGACAAACAGCCTGGCAGTATGAACCATTTACAGGTTGGTATATTGATGGTAGTCCATATTTATTCTAATAAACGCCCACTCCCTCAACTTACAGACTTTTGTAATAAACACCTTTCTCAAATTAACGCCTCTCCCTAATAGATGCACCTGTTTAACTAATACTGTACATTTCACTGCACTTTGTGAATTTGTGTGAATTGTGTCCAGATTTTGTATTTTTGGGGTTATACTATGAATTTTTGAAAATAAACACCTCTCAATTACACACCTCTCTCTAATACACGCCTGTCTCTTATAAACGCCCCCTTCCAAACTTTTTTTTTTAAATAAACGCCCAGGGTGTTTATTAGAATAAATATGGTACTGCTACTGACATACGAAACTGTATCAAAAAGTCATTGACTCATGTTTGTGATACAAAAATTTTGTCTCATGTTTTCTTGCTAAATTTGGAGTTGTTGTTTAAACGAAAGAATGTGATGTTATAATCCATTAAGTTGCATTGGACTCCACTGCACCTATTTTACTCAGTCTAATGCCAGACAATTTTACTCTTCAAGGGGAGAGCACTTGGCACTCAATGGGTTATCAGACTGTCTGCCCATGTGTGTAGTTAATTATACTATTTTGGTCTCTGAAAATGTGAACATGTAGTGAAAACATGTGAATAAATCTCCAAACTTTAATGGACAACTTGCATGTTAGACTAAATTTTAATCTAAGTAAACAGAAGGGAATAAAACACAACAGTTAAAAAGAACATAATGAAATTAGTAAAATAGCAAAATTTGGTTGCAAAATGTTGTAAAATACAGAAAATATAGCCTTGCAAAGTTTGCCTATTTTCAGTATATTTGTATTACGGGAAATTGTTATCATTTTCGGCTCAAAAATGGTAACAATTTCCGCACGTAATACAAATATACTGAAAATATGCAAACTTTGCAAGGCTATATTTTCTGTATTTTACAACATTTCGTAACCAAATTTTGCAATTTTACTTATTTTAATAAGTTCTTTACGGGAATTTACTTTTTTTGTCTAAATCAAAAATTAGTCTAACATGCAAGTTGTCTATTCGTAACGAATTTGTCATCATATTCGTAAAACATTCATTGAAATTTGAGGTTGGGTAAAAAAGATTTTGACTTTTTAATGGTTGGATCTGCAAACGTTTTACCAAAAAACATCTCTCTTCAGTGCCCCCACATAAACAACGACCGGTCCCTTAACATTGCACTCATTCGATATTTGTGTACTTATTCTCACGCAGGTCAAGTGGTGGATGGTCCTCACAATGGACCTGCCCCTGGCCCATGGATGATAATGGTTCAGCCGAAACAAATGTTCTCACCGTCGAGCACTAAACTTGAGGTTCCCCATACTGCTTCTGTGAAGGTGCATTGTTATACTGTTCGATATCGGTTTATGTTCTGTTTATTTACTTGCATGATACGCAGGGTGCGTTCAAAATTTTTAGTCGTACCTGACTGGTACTCGCTTACTGGAACCGCGTATGTGAGCTGGTACAAGCTTAAGACTCAAGGTGTACTTAGTCTTTAAAATGAAGTACATAAAGTGTAGGTTTCTGAAAGGTATTCATTCATTAAGTACTTGAAACTAGAAGTTAAAACAAGGAGAACAGTTGCATATACAAACACTACAATCGACTGGAACAATCCTTAGTCTCGTCCCATTAATCCAATCATGTTTAATGCCAAATCATGTAAGACCTCAGGGTGCGATAATTCGCGTACTTACGTACCGGAGTACGCCAATATTACTGTCTGGTACTTCTTTGTTTTCAGCCACGTACCACGTAGGTACGCGGAACTCTTGCTATCTGCGTACTTACGTTTTGCTGGTACCACATGACCTTTCCAAGTCCAAGGTATTCAATACCGTAATTTAGTTGGTATATCATGTGTCTGAGATGTCTTGGCATGAAACATGATTGCACTGATGGCACTAAGAAACGTTGGAGTCGGTTGTTTGAAATAGCAAAACACCCTTTTCAAATAGCAAAACTCCCTTTTGAAATAGCAAAACTCCCTTTTCAAATAGCAGAACACCCTTTTCAAATAGCAAAACTCCGTTTGCTATCTCGTAGTCTGAACATACTTTTCAGAAACCTATACTTTATGAACCTTATTTTTAAAGGTAAGTACACATTGAGTACGGAGTTTGTTCTAGCGCAAGTACGCGGCAACAACCATTGGCGTACCCGAGTCAGGTACGACTAGAAATCTTGAATGATCGCACCCTGAAGACCTACATGCATATATTCCAACTAAATTGTGGTTTTGAATAACTTGTGCTTGGAAAGATCAAATCACAAGTGTCAAGTGGTACAAATGGTACGTTGCTGGAAAAAATAGAAGTATCAGCCCATAATATTGGCATACCTTAGGGACGTAAGGACGCGATTTATCGCACCCTGCTGTGTTAGAATAAACACGTACAGAATGAATAGAAAGTTGTAACTTATGGACACATATTCCTTGCAGCAATGTCATGAATGTTATGGCGGAGGTTTCAAGCAATGCAAGACTTGTGCTGGACGAGGTTGGGTAAGTGTACAGTGGAGTGGTTTGTCTCTTGCCCACTGATCTTGCCCCCCCCCAGGGTCTTAGCTAGGATTTTAGAACTTGGGCGTGTTTCTAAATGACCAGGGTGTGCACATGTCAATTACCTCAAATAGCCAAATTCGCGGTTCTAGTTATGGTCGCCAACAACAGACCATACCTGTGGTTGTTCTATGCTTTGCAACCAAATACAAGGCAAGCATACGCTCATATTACGCACTGACATTAAAATATTAAGTTTTTTCAGCAACTCTTGGGGGTATTTAAAACCATTGTAACACCATACAGTTCCCATTATCCACCAAAACATTAAAACATCACATGCAGATCACTTTCGCCAATTTCAACAATAACCGTAGATTTTACAAACTTTCTTACAACGTACAGTGAATAGGAAGAAATTCTGTCTGTTATTTTATGAACCTACACAGCCTTATATAAATAATGAAACCGCATTCATTTTATCTAGCCGTGTTTTTCCTTTTTTGGCCGCGATAACACGGCCAACATGGCCCTCTGGCTAAGACCCTGCCCCCCGCTTTACTAAGTTTATTTGATAAACGCAAATATATACTTACCCTGGATTCCAGAGCCTTCGACAGTAAATAATAAATTGAAATGTCGCGAAGGCTCTAGTTCAACGGGAAGTTTCTTTGATTAAACCGCGCCAATCACAAAACAGAATTAGTGGTTTTAGCAAAGAATCTTCCCGTCGAACCAGAGCCTTCGCGACGTTTCAATTTATTATTTACTGTCGAAGGCTCTGGAATCCAGGGTAATATATGTCATAGAATGGAAAATCCATATAAGGTCATAGAATGGAAATTGTATGGAACTTTATTGGAAATAGAATGGATTTTGATGATCCATAATAATTGTATATTTCTATACTATGGATATAGTTATAGTATCGAAATAGTATGGATATACTATGGATTTAGTGGTTCAATTGTAAATTTCATAGCATGGATTTCACATTTTTTCCCAGTGTAAAAGAATCTGAAAATTACATCGTTGAAAGAGAAAACGCATTATTACTAGGGAGGGTTTTTCATTTGAAAATTCATATAGGGAAAGTATTCAGATAGATATGTTGTTGCATGTATCCAACAAATGCATAACATAACTATTGTTTTCCTTTCTGCAGAGTAAGTGCCATACTTGTCATGGTCGTGGGGTGGTCAAAGATGACTTCAATGAAGAGAAGCCATGCCATGCTTGTTCGGGTGCAGGAGAAGGAAGGTTAGTGGATGTAGGAATTATTAGATTCCACTCGTCTGCATCTCAGAAAGAACGACAGCTCAAGTAATATCGATCTTTCTCAGATCAAGTCAAGTTGAGATCAGGTCACAATTTCTTATTGTGGAATACAAGTACATCAATGGTGTTCTCGTTATTCTAGAATGCAGGAAACAATAAAATGACAGCCGAAACTGTGATCTTTTGAAAAACCTAATTTATTTCGAAAAATTAAAGCTAATTCATTCCACTTATCTTCATTAAATTTTGCTCTTCATTACATTACTATACAAAGTTTCCTTCGAAACATTGTATTGACACAAAAATGAATGGCTATATCAGTTTTTCGACAATGATTTTACAGAAAAACTTTCTTACAAAGTATAGACCCTAAGCAACACAAAATAATGAAAATATTTTCAAATTTTCGTTTTGATCCAGCATTTAACCTTGCCCAATTTGAGGTTCATGACTCTTCGGAGGAGGTGGAAACCACAGCTCTCCTCAAAATCCCACCTGGTGGCCAGCGTTCGATGGAATTGTCGTTAACATTTTTTTCTTTCTCAAGGTGCCCTCCATGTAATGGTGGGGGAAGGGTCAAGTGTGACGTTTGCAATGGTCATACTAGACTCAAGACATTCATACAGCTCACAGTTACATGGTATGTATATGCTGCTCAATTGAACATTTTTGCATGAAGCGTAACTATGTACTGTATATTTTATTTTGTATTGTATAATTCCAGGAAAAACCATGATTCGGAGAAAACTATCGAGAGGTCTCATGGTGGACCGAAGGACAAAGTTAAGGAAGCTGGAGGGCTGCAAATATTTCACCAACAATTCCCACGGGTAAGGGCTGGTTAACACTATCAAAGTTTCTGTGATCACAGTAGGAATTTTGCATATAGCTAAATTCTAGGTTTTGAAGGATTTGTAAGAAATGTTTGAGGAAACTGACTAAGTGTTACAGGACATATGACTCGAAAATTGACGGTGTTATTTTTTAGTCTAATTTGAAAGATAATTGAAAACTGTACAGTAACTTGTTTGGTAGATTTTTGTTTTCTTGCTTCGTTTTGAAGATATTTCATTTTGTATGATATGCAAAGGACCAACTTTTACGTCACATATGCATAATGATTTAGCCCTAAAAGCTGTGTATTTTTAATACGACTAAACACAATCAGTAGAAAACCTACATGGGTGTTGTTGTGGACAAATCTCGTGCTCATCATTCATGTTGAGCGAATTTACAAAATTATATAACATTTTAAAGTAATTCATTATGCATGTGTGCCGTAGAAAGTTAGTCTTGCATATCATACAAAATGAAATATCTCCAAAACGAAGCATAAAAAAAAATTGTCAAAGAAGTTACTCTACAGTTTTCAATTATCTTTCAAATTAGACTAACTAAAATAACACCGTCAATTTTTTGGTCATATATATGCCCTTTAAATTAAACAGTGAAGTCAGTCTCCTCAAACGTTTCTTACAAATCCATCAAAACTTTGAATTTTAAGGCATGGTCAAGCACAGAATCATTCTCAGATAAGTAAGAAGTATTTTCATATTAATTCTTCATTATTTATAGGTCTGGCCAATTACCACATTCTTTGACAGCGAAATCAACAATGCATCCCAACAATTTGTGAGTGAACATGCAACATCTTGGCCACAAGAACGTATTCTTATGCAGGTACATATGTTGATAAAAAGGGTTTTAAGTGGGTTATTCACGGTGCGATAGTTTCACCGGTGTATGGGTAATTGCCAGAAAACAAGTCATGAGCCAGTTTGAGTTGTTTTGTGTTTGTCTGTTGGTGGATTTCAGTATGGGTTAACAATACAGCAGATGGTGTATAACTTCACTTTATATTAACCACACAAATGACTCGAGTTCTGCGTTCAAAGCGTTCAAATTGTGTATAGGTTTCAAGCTTGCATCTAGATTGTTTCCAATATTTTCCCAGTTTGTACCAGTTTGTACAATAATAATACATGCATGTGTTATGTACTGTTTACAGCATGGGCGGCCGTGTCGTATCGATACTTATTTTTCACCCTGCTCGGTTTCCTTTGTTCTTAGCGGGGAATATATTCAATATTCCCCTCTAAAAGCTTGTGAAACTTCTTGATGAGTACATTCGTATCCTTCAACAATTTTTAAATTAATAGTTCATTAATAATTAATAACTATTTTTTAAATTTTAATTGTTTTAAAAAACAAATGAATGATATTTGGTGAGAAAATTGATCTTAAAGTTTATGTAAATCAGCATGATTTTTATCAGATATACAAACTTTTCATTCTTTTGTGTTTTCTTCATGAAATATTATTCATGGATCATGATTATTCTTAAGCTTCCGCAAAATTTTGTACCAGCGTAATTTCTTTAATATTTCTAACTTGCTTTACCACACTGATCAACCACAAATAATACTTTTGCTTATTTTTTTCATAAGAATCATGTCCTCCGCGCCATTCCCGTTGCTGAAGTGTCGTACGTATGGAAGAATGACAGCTATCGTTTCTGGGTATACGGCAAAGAACCCCGGAAGGTTTTTGCTCCAGATTACCCCCAGCAATGCTGTTGTGGTTGCGTCATTCTCTGAGCCTGGGAACGATTTCCAATTTTATTAAGATGGATAGCACTTCGCACGATAGTCATTTGACTGATGATTTATAGGTTTAAAGATGGTTGGACTAAATTTTAATATTCAATGCATTAGTTTTATACCATAGTTCAAAATTAATATATAGTGTAGACCTCTTTGCTTGGATGAAATCGTGTCAACAATATATATGCCATCATAATGTTTTTGTGTTCAGGCCAACCTCTTTTTCTCCCCTTGCCTCAGGGTGCTCCCTAGTTTGAATCTAATGAACAGGGACGTCGCTACTCGAGGTGTGTGAGGTGTACCCCCCCCCCCCCAATAATTTTAAAGTTGGTCAAAATGGAAAATATTTGGTCAAAAGAGTTGTTCTCCCTTTTGCTTTTTCAAATTGGTTTACATTATTAACTAACTATTGTAGTATTTAACGGCCTGTTAAAAAACCACCTCACATGCATATATGCAAGCATCCAGTTTTTCCATCACGACTTTTGATGGGGTCAAAATGTTCGCCAAAACTTGATCAAAATGTGAATGGATCATGTACAATTAGCCTTTTCCCAAAATAGATCATAGTGCATTCTGGGATCGTTTGGAGGGACAAAATATATGGCGACAGGCGTCAAATATGTGAAAGAGTAGAAGTATCTACCATCAAATATCAACTTTTTAGACAACCAAAAATGAAATATCTCCTTTTTACATTAAACTTTTAATTTAAATGTGTGTTGCCATATTTCTTGTTCTTCCAACATGGGATTTGCGCGACTTTGTATGACTCTGCTAACTGCGTGTCCAGCCGAGAAGTACCCTTACGTCATAATTGCGCAGAAGGATGGTGACCTGCCATGGTATTACACAAGAAAATTTTCCAAGCAAACTAACAAGAATAACGTGATGTATTGAGGGCCTCCCAGGGTTTTTTAGGAAGCAAGGCTTATCTTGCAAAGGGAACACGGTAACAAAGCCGAAAGAATCTTAGGGAACAGGGGGGGGGGGCATGGCGAAGTCTGTTTTTTGGAACAAGGGAACAAAGCAAAACGTTTCAAGTGAATACGGGAGCACAGACCCCCTCTGAGAGACTCTTGTGTGTATTTTGCAGGAAAGAGGCATAATAACAAACCATGGTGCTTCACAGTTTTTTCGCATTGTTTATCTATCAGCAGTATATACACAAACACACAAAGACTCTACAAAGTACAACAAAGTAGACACGAAAGCTCGCCTAAATTAATTTCTATTGACGTCGACGACTCTCACGGGACATGTATTGTAAAATAAATTATTACTTCATTGTTTTACAATTCATGGTCTGGATGAATGTTCTGTCTGTTTGCGGTTTTACACAAAACGCGTTTTCTTTGCCCAAGTCCAGTCAGATCATCCATCTCCGCTCTAGTATAAATCGCCAATATATATACTAATATATATATCGTGATTTGTTATATCAGTGCTGGTAACCTTGAATAATATTAGGGAGAAAGTGCTGATACGAATTCCTGACAACAAGCCCACACATTTGTATAGGCAACGCACGCAAACGTTGGGAAATAAAAAGAAGTTGCTTTCAATTCCTTCCGTCCGTTTGCGGAGGAGTGAATCACAATTAATAGTCTTTGTAATCAAATATATATAAATATAGTAATTAACGAATCTTAATTTTGAAGCAAAAACACGAGCTATTTAAAACCGCGAGATCAAAAAAACTTGCATAACTCGGGATAAAACTTATGTTGATATGAAAAATCTCGTGTTTTCGTACCTGCGTGCTTACCATTCAGTTTCCGGAAGTTTTAGGAATATTCTATTATTACCCGCACGTCATATCCCGGCATGCCCCGCAGGGTGCCATATGGGAGGGACAATATCACAGGGGGGTGTGAACCGTTGTTTATCATTCTTTCAGACAAATTGAGCAAGGAGTGACTGCAACGAAGCGTGCTTTTAGTATTTTTAACTCGTTTGAAAAGGCTGTAAAACACGTTTTAAGCTAAATATTAGGAATTGTTAGTATAGAGCGACGCTTTAATCCTTGCAAAGGCTTGTTATTTGTTTGGAAAACGCTGTCGAATCGCCATTTGAACTCGGCTACTTTCGTGTGTACAGAAGCGTTACTCGACAAAATGTCGAAGCTCGATGATTTTAGTGATTTGGACGATCTTCACTTACTCGAAGGGCTTTCATTGCAAGAAATAGAAGAACTTTCCGAAGCTATTGACCCTGAGGTAAGAACGAAAATAGGTTTATAAAAACTAGAAGAACTGCCTGGTATTTATGAAATTAGAAATGATATATATACAGTATATTCGACTCGCTTTAGCCTTTAGGCAGTTTTGGGGTTTGCGATTAAAGGTTATATTGTGTATATTGCCCGGGAATTTTTGTTTGGGAAAATTTGCTTTCTTTGTGTTTTAGGAAGGCCTTTATGAGGTAATTTCTGATATATATTACAGTCTAAAAAAAATTGATGCTTGATATAGTATAATTTTGAACTTTTCTTGTATTAGAGTTTAGGCGCATAACGCAGTATAATTTATGTCTGTTTGAAAAACAACTGCATTATTTATTGTGGTTAATATGTTACGTATAGTGTTTGTGCATTTGTTGGAAATTTTCAGAACTGGGAAAACAATTGTTTTTATTTCTTTATAAGCTTAGCCTGAAGTGCTTTACTGCTTTTATATTGATTTGGAGTTAGATGTCAAAGGCTAAAAGATCCTATAAGGATGCCACACTTGGTTGCTAAGAGCTTAGTGGAAATTAATCATCATATTTGTCCGTCTTTGTGAAGAGTGTTATAAGCTGTATGTGAAAGCTTCACAGGTGATATCATATGCTACTTGACATCTTGCCTATTAAAAGTATTTGCTGGTATGATGATGCTGAAAAATATTTCTCAAAGCACACCGGGGAGATTACTAATAACTGTCCCTCCTACTACAGCTGAGTAAATAACATGCAATCCATGCCAAACACAGCTTTGTCAATTCTAATTTTGATAGCAAAAACAAGTTTCAATGGTCTGTTGAAAATTTGCCTGCTTTTGAGTGACTCGATATTCTCCCCAGTAAGCTTACCAAAATTTTCATGATTTGCACACACAGCACCATGTCTCCCACTCCCCACCCTGTGAAACATCTACAGACAGGTATAGGGGAGGGTGCACCCCTTGAAAAATTTACTTTCATCTCCACCAGATAAACCTGGACTGTAATAATTCACCAAAGTGGTAGTGAATAGTGGGACGATATTCACCAAAATGTGAAGCGTTGAGGTGCATATCCTTGCAATATATATTTTTTTTAATCTTCATTATTTACCGACAGTGAATAATAGTCTCGGCACATACCACAACCAAATCAAAATGACTAAAAAACAACGAAAATGTTTTTAAATCAATTTGTATTTCTGCTTCAGTAATAGTTGTAAACAAAATGGCATTTTCATGCTTTTAGTAAATATTATTCATTAGAAATAGCTTTAAAGAATACATCTACACACTGCTAAACAAAAGTTTATGACTTTCTTTGTGTTTGGAAAAACCGGCCCCTTCATTTAGTACACAAGCCGCATGTAAGGATATCTAGAGCTAAGCAACCAATCAAATTGTGTGAAAAGCAGTATCACCCTATATATGCTAAAACGTATTATTTTTGTACATTAGAATGAGCTGTTGCCCGCAGCGGAGCGGCAACCAGATCAGACGGACAAAGAGGAGACTGGCCCCTATAACCGAGACCATCTTCTAAAACACATGGAGAAGGAAGCCGTAGAGTCTAAGGTTGGCGACAATTATTTGCCGTTCAAAAAAGAAACTCGAGGCAAGATCTGGAAACCCAAGCCAAGACGTCAGACTCCGGCTACCATTCTTCCCGATGACCTCAGTGAAGCACTGGATGGAGCGTCGGTTGATGAAATAGCAGAACTTGCAGGTATGCATTGGTAAACATATATATAATCTGGATTCAGCAACCCTCAGGGTTCAAATTAACAGCTCACTATTTGCAGTTTGCAAAAGTAAATTTGAATGCAAAATCGATTATTTTGCAAATGACTTTTTTAACGTTTACAATAATTTTGCAAATTTTTTTAAGGTTTACAATGAAAGTTGATTTTCACAATCACTTTGAATATTTTTTACTATAGTGTAAGACATGAAGCATTTTGCAGACTATTGTTGTAATTTTGTACTAAAAGGATGTGTAAAATGAAATAATGATTTCAGAAAATCTACAATTTCTTCAGAAAATTTACGAAATTTGCTATGAAACGGCCGCCATTTTGTTTTTCACAAGCAGTGTTCCCACTTTTCAAAACTGAAATTTCCTTAAAATTTTCAAGAAGGAAATTTGCAAATCGATTTTCCTCTCTAACTTGAACCCTGAAGTTACATTACAATATGCTACTTATAGAATGGCTCCAACCTCGAAAACATATTTTATTATTTCAACTTACCGTACTTTCACTGTTCTTCACTCTAGCTGTACTTGGCCTGCATGGCCTTCTCACCCAGGAACAAAGTTCATACAGTGATGTGGATATGATTGGAAAATCTTTACGTGGAAGTGGTTTACGAAAAGCAAAACCCAGTAAGTAGCTACGATAATATCAACCAATTACATCAAGTATTATGCTTAGGCGTAAAAAATACCTGTTGTTCCGGTTTCATGTCGCGAAAAAATTAGGGTTGGTAGGTCAGAAATATTTTTTTTGAATATTTTTTTCATGGTTTTTTCAATAATTAGTGTGACAACATACGCCATTTTGGCAGCAGCCCGCAACCACCCGGAGAAAATAGGGTTGTACAGTCAATCGCGTTGAAAAAATAATAGGATTTTTTTCTGTGTTGGTGTTGTATAGTCAGGTGAATATGATGCTTGTGATGTTACTCCGAGTGTATATCCACACCGGACGAGCTTGAAAAAAATCATATTACTAGATTACACTGGTATCGTAGGTTTGGTCGTAGGTTCGATTCCCACCGTGGCCGGGCATATTTTCCAAGCTCGTCCAGTGTGGATATACTCTCAGAGTAACATCACAAACATCAAAATAATAGGGTCGGCAGAAAAAAATAGGGTTGGTCAGGAACCGGAACCACAGGTATTTTTTTACACCTTACTTATAGTACTAATTTGCCTAGACTATTTATCTTTACAACAATTGTGATATTACTTTCCTAATTATGTTTATTCTGAGGACTGCGCCACCAAAATGAAATTTGATACTTCCAAAAAAAATTAAAACCATGTGTGGAAAAGGAATCTTCTCTTTCTGGGAACCTGTTATCTTTACCAGTACTTTTTATGTCATAGGAATGAATGACTATACTATACTATAGCATTTCATAACTTTATGTTGCCTTCTCCTAAGTAAAGGTTTCCTGATTTTAATTGTGGATGCTACTTTTAAATTTTCAGAATTTGTCAGGGCCACAAAACAGAAAAAGGACAACAGTCTGAACGCCGTGAATGAATTAGACCTGGCTGATGCTTTAGAAAAACTGAAGTCCAATGATCCAAATTTAACAAATCTTAACATAAATAACCATAAAGACATTAGCGAGTTGAATGCAATTCAAGCGATAATTGAATGCATACCAAGTAATACACACTTAAAGATTCTGTGTATGGCAAACACACAGATGCATGATCGACATGCCAAGGTAGGGATTATGCCTGGAATTGTCACTAGGGATGAGCCGATAAGGAAAATTGCCAATTACTGAGGCCGATTATTTATCAGCCGATTATCAAAACTAATCGGCCGATTAATCGGTACCTGCCGATTATTTTAAAAAGCAAGCGAAAAATCACAAGATGACCAACAATGAAGTTGTAAATGCGATTTTATTGTTTACAACACACACTATGTACAATTAAAAACAGCTTCAATCTTGCATGTCAATAGTCAAAGTTTAGTTTTGGCAGATTATGGTGTAAAAACAGGATATTGTCAGCTATGCGGAGCTAGTCTGCTGCGTTTTTCAGTGGAAATGTTCCCAGCTTCACTTCGCTTGAGACAAAAGACACAGATTTTGCAACAAAATGTGAAAATCTATTCGCTTGTATTCAGTATTTTAGCATGTGCTTGGCAGCTGCAGAAAAAGTCTTATGGCCGATTATCAGGCAATAATCGGCCGATTACCGATTATTTGAAAAACGGCCGATTAATCGGCTTTGCCGATTAATTACCGATTAATCGGCTCATCCCTAATTGTCACATATGAAAAACATTGTCTTCCTGATGCATAACACTTGAACACTTCAACGTTTGAAATGAGCATTTCAAGGTTTCAATTAGCTCAGCCAATTAGTGCGAGGATAAATAAAGTTGATTGGATGATCTGATGGTCTGAGCACAGGCGTTCGTTTTGCTTCGATTTAGGGCAGCAAATTGAAGATCTATGCTCAGGCTACTGATCTGATTAAATCGTGTTGTTTTAGCTCTTGACAAACATGAAATATAACCATAATATATAACCACAGTGTTTTGATCTAAAACTTTGTAGGGCTAGTTGGCTGTGTTGTAGAAAATACTTTATTACAAACATTTGGTATTTTTAATACTCTGTCTGATGCCAGATGATTTTATTCATCAAGGGGATAGTGCTCAATGCCTCAATGTGTTAATACCAAAGGCTTTATCATCGGGGGCCGGTTGTTCAAAACTGTGTTAGTTTAACCCTAGGTTAATCTAAAATGCAAAGCAAACATCCTCACAGCTTGTCTATAAATTTGGAAATACTTCTTCAGAGATCTTGTCTGGATCGATAGGAGTTCACTTCTCTGAAGTTTTGAAATAAACAGACGTGCAGAAATATACACAAACTAAAACAGCGGGTTAAATTTTAACCCAGAGTTAGCAATAATCCACCTTTGAGCAACCGGCCCCAGGGTAATAGGATGTAAATGACTGTACTTTCTAATACACATTTGTTGTACTGTATTGGCATTTTATTCAAAGTATTAAAATGTATTATTATAAACAACTTGTACTTTTTGTTTGGCAGGAATTAGCCAAAGCGTTGGGGGAAAATTCAACACTAGAATCTGTGAATATTGAATCAAACTATCTGACTGGAGAGGGGATCAAGTGTGTAGCACAAGTATTAAGAGATAATACAATTATAAAAGAACTTCGCATTGCCAATCAGGTGTGTGTTTTGTGCACTTATGAATTACAAAATCCACTATAGTCCCTTTGCACTGACGTCACAAATCCTTAGAGTGTCCTCCAGATGCTCCCTAACAATATCTGTTCGGGTACAACAACCTCATACAGCCAAAAAATTAACCATTTTAATACAAAATTATTATAAACTTTTGCAAAATTTGGTTTGTTTACAAAAGTTATATTATGCATAGATTGCTAATTTGTCCTCCAGATGCATCGTCACCGGCGCTGTGACGTCATGTGCAAAGGGTCTATATTGATAATTAATAATGTAGACGTATGTTCTTCAAATAAAATTCAATAATATATATTTATTTAATCATTTAGTCGCAAATGATAGGCAGTCAAGCTGAAGACGAAATTGCCAATGTTTTGAAAGAAAACAAAACTTTACTGAAATTGGGATGTTCATTTGATTCCCGTGGACCTCAAGTGTTGGTAGATCAGTACATTCTGAGAAATAATGAATTAGGTTGGTCTTATTTAGCCTTTCCAGTCATCCTGCATGTGTATAATTCGTGTAATCATAACCTATCATTGACTTTCTATCCAACGTTGTTCTAAGTATTAGTCAAAAGTAACCAACTTTAGAGTTTAGTATTTAGGTGATTGTTAAAAATTCTCCACGCTGATTGGTCGCCGTTGAGGTGATTATAACGCGATAATCATCTACAGTAAGCGATTTTCGAAATGGCGGCCGAAGCCGTTTTGTCAACTAAATGACGAAGAAATGTGTATTTTTCATTTTTCCCCAAAAATTCCCAAATAATCACCTATGAAATTATACTAAAACAATTATTCACCTCTGAAATAATCACCTATAAAATTATACTAAAACAATTATTCACCTCTGCAGGCTCGGTGATTATCGTGAATAAAAACGTCGATTTCATCTCGGTTTTTATTCACCGATAATCATCTCGCCTTCGGCGAATAATCATTAAATATTCTGTACTACATTCTGCTACTTCTATTGTAACCCTATTATATCCATAGATATCTTATATACACTAGATAGCGCATCTCTTTTAGTAAAATTGAAGCCAATAATATTCCAGCGGTTACCCCCATTTGAATAGATGGCGGCCATGTTGGAGTTTCCCACTCACTAATAAACGCTTAAAAAACAACAATAACTTTCATCATTTGAATAGTTTGAAAATGTATTTGGAATAGGTTTAACTTAATGTTTAAGTTCCCTGTTTAAGAAATAGAAAACATACGAGTCTTCTCATTTCATGGGAATATCCTGAGTCTGCAATCACGGCTTCGAATAATTAGATGCACTATCTAGTGTATATAAGATATCTATGATTATATCCCACACTTTGTGTTATTCAACTATTCATCAAACAATCTGCTGACTTCTAACATTTCTGTGTAAAATTTAGCCCGCAAAGAACGTAAACGCTTGGAGGAAGAATGAAGAAAATGATGTTAAGAAAAGGTTGACATTTCCTGTGCTCAAGTGTAATTATTCATGTTCAAATATCTTGTGATTATATCTCGTGCAATTGTGTATTGTAGAAAATAGATTTTATTTTATTTATAAGGGCAGCAGGGTTTTCTTTTATCCAGTAGCAGTGCTAACACGTTTTCAATGCCGTTCTCTCATACAAATTACAAGTCTCTCTAACCAATAAGATATCAACTAGTATTCCATGACAATAGTCAATATCATATTCACTGATTAATAGCATATCTAGACCATAATAGATATAATTCTTGAAAGATGTACGATATTATATGGGCTGTGTGACTCAATACAAAACCTCCTCGATCAATTTTGATGTCTGCCATTTTAATCACTGTTACTGTATGTACATTGTATTGGAACCTTTAAATAGTCTTGATGTAACTTATTTTAAAGTATCATAGTATTAATAAAGATAGATAGTGAGTAATAAAAAGAAAGTCTGACATATTTCAGTAATGTTTTTGTTCAATTGAAATTCATGTTGCCTCCATCACAGTCTGTTGCGCTAGAAATCTTTTTGACGATCGCCTGGAAAAAAAAGACCACAATGTTATTTTTTATTTATATTATGTGTACATGATAAAACTTTAAATATTTAAATTAAAAAGGTATGTGAAAGAGCAGCTCGTGGTTAACAACTTGTCTAAGCGGTTCGCTGGACAAAACCACCGAAATTCTCACCCTTCCGTATCTCCAAAATCGGAGTGACACACAGAACGACTTAGTTGTCGGTATAAAAAAATCAAACGACAGTGAAATGCGTTCGAAGGGACAATCCTGTGCTCTCGACGTAATTTGATTTCATTTGGTATGCAAGGTTGATATTTATCCATTAATCACCACGATTAACGACTTGCAATCAATAGGGTTTGATTGCATTTTCTTTGAAAGAAAAAAACTAAAAGGCTGTACTTACAATCGCCCATCACTTGGCTTCATGTCTGCATCAGCGGTTTGTTTGGCGTAGTGTTCTCTAATGTATCTGAAAGCTTGGGCTGTAGCGTAAGGCAGTCCAGTTACTGGATCTTTGTACTTTGCTGGTAGGCCTGTGACTGGACAATATGCTTTCTGCGGGATAGAAACCTTGTTACTGGTAAAGTAATTTCCAGGAAATGTTTTTGGATCCGTGAATATTATAAAATTCCTAGAACATTTCGGTTCAGGGGTTTTCTCAGAATCTTTCTCCGTCGGCGTTTCTGATTGGTTTTCATTACCACCATCGTCGTCGACTTTTATTTCTTCGTTCACTTCAATAACTGGCATTGACAAGGACAAATATCGAATCATTGGTTCTTTGCGGACAGGTTTTAGATTTTTAGCCTTCTTTTTGGTTTCTTCCATTTGTTGATAAGCTTTGAGCGAGGCAATGTTCAGTTGTTCGGTAATTTCAGCTTCGGCTAGTAATTCTTTCTGGGTTAGCGGTCTGAGTTGTGAAAATTTGACTTGTTTTTTGTCAACCTAAAATGTGATAGAGTGGTTAAATTACTACCAAATGGATTCTGTGATTTGAGTATGGCTCAAAATTGATAATAATGATTTATTGGCAATATATCCACATAGTGGATCTTCGCTTACCAAAATATACAATTAAATTATACACAAATTCTATAAACTATATAGTTTGATAATATATATTTACTAATATATATTATATTTACGATTATAATTTTTTGTCCAAAAGAAAAAAATAGGTACACTATGTGTACATGTGTCCTGTTGTTGATCAGTCAAAGTTGTCATGTGTGCATGGTCTGGGGTCAGACACTAGGCAACTGTTTATTCATGTATTTTGGTAGATTGATGAAGATTAGCAAGTGAATTTGTCTTATGTCAGTGTACCCTAAAAGTATGCACACAAAACCCAAAGAAGCTAACACATTTGAAAGTTCAACCTTGGACTACCAAATGAAAATGTGTGGCTGTATATGGGGAAATATTATCATCATAATACTGTACGTACATCTTCTGTGTACATAGAATTGGTAAAATTATCAAATGCACATAATTTAAGGGTGGGTAAACACATTTCTCTCCTTGATGTGTACTGTTGGTTGTTGCTAAATCATAGAATGTCTACCAGTTTTTAGATCTCCTGGGGTAGTCTACAGTAGTCATGGTATGCCCACTGAAAATGGTATGTGGAAGGGATCCAGTTTGGGGGAGAAATGCTTAGCAGAGTTGGTCAGAGCATGATGCAATGCCCGACTGGAAATCGTCACAGAAGGAACTATGGCAGTGTTGATAGGTAAGGTCATAGTCTGTAGTCGCAAACTTGTTATGAGATTGTTTTCACCCCTTCACCTGTGGTAGGCGGGAGGGTAGCCTGAATTTCAGATGGTCACTCGCTGACATCTTAAAGGGTGGCCAACTGAACTTCAGGGGCAGGGGAAGTGATATTTATTAAGCAATCACAGAACAAGTTTGGGAATATAGGATTAATACATTTGCTGTTGACCCCAAAACAAATATTGACAAATCAACCTTCTTTCCTTCCATTCTCTTCCGATGTTTGTCAGAACTCTGTGCAGTCGCTGCCCGAGTCGACTTTCTACTAGACACTCTCAATTCCACAGCCGTCTTCAAGTCTTTCTTAATTTTATTTTCTTTGGGCACTCTCTCTTCTCCTTTGGCCTCCACTTCGGCCTTTGCGCGAACGGGCTCCTTATAAAACGTTTTCTTTCGTTTCTTTTTGCCGTCATCGTCGTCGTCTTGCTCGATAATTTCGTCCGTTTCCGACAAACTGAAATCGGAATCCACTTGGTCAGATTGGTCGTCTTCCGAAACATATTCTTCGTCGCCCGATTCTTCTCCAAAGCCACCAAGCGCTGTTTTGTAAAATTCATCATCGCCCAGTTCATCTGCGAGCAGTTTGGACATTTTATTGCCAGCATTTTTACGTTGTTCTCGCGATTTTGCGAGGCTTTCACTCTCTCCTTTGTCCGCCATCTTGAAAAAAATACGAGTGGTATTGATGGATAACATGGGATAGTTGTGGTAAATAATTTCTGAATTTGCCGGTGAGCTATATAAAAACACTGTAGTGTGCCTATTTTGTAATTATTTTTTGCGCCTGGGCTGGGCTGGCAGTTTCGGCACATCAAAATGATCAAATGTAGGGTAAAGGTGTGCAATTGAAGTAAACTTCTTGCCTAAAATATATTACTCGCCTAAGTGAAAAGTATATAAATACTTAGACATGCACTACAACCCAAGAATAATAATGCGTACGTTTTAAGAGCATTACACAGCGCTCAATGGCAGTGTTCACACAAGATAAAATGAATAGTACTAACCTACACAGGATAAAAAGTACAAAATTACATTTTTAATCATTAAAACAAATAAGTTTCAATTAGTTATGTAACTGTCATCTATACCTCTCCCCCCGCCCCCACCTTACTAAAAGCAACATAATTCTGAGTGATGTACACTCAGAGAGTAACATCACAAGCATCATATTCACCTTAGTACATTACACCAACATGCTTCTTTAGAAACCAGTAATTCATCTGTGTGAAAAGTGGCAGTACTTTTAGCAATAATTACACACCAACAAATCGTAAGATTTTCACGGTTCCCAAATATCCCCTCCAGTCTACCTAAGTTGAGGGTACAGGGACACTAACCCACATGCCTACAACATTCACAAAGTGTACAATGTGAAAAGGGACATTGCACTTCCCTGCTGCTTTAGAAACCAGTAATTCATCTGTGTGAAAAGTGGCAGTAATTTTAACAATAATTACACACCAACAAATCGTAAGACTTTCACGGTTCCCAAATATCCCCTTCAGCCTACCTAACTTGAGAGAACAGGGACACTTACGCACGTGCCTACAGCATTCACAAAGTGTACAATGTGTAAAGGGACCTTGCACTTCCCTAAACAGAAAAAATAACATAAATCTATTGTAAGTTTGTGATTATGATTATGAATACGTTTCCCTCGTGAAATAAAGTTCTCAGTTACTACTTGCTTGCTTACTAGGTCCATGATATACGGTCCAGCTCTTCATATACAGTGCAGTTCGTTATATGCATTTGTATGTAGTATTTAAAACACGAGAAGGAGTGTTTTATCATATTTATGGATATATTTATAGATATGATACAACACTCCTTCTCGTGTTTTAAATAGCTTAAAATACGACTACAAAAGAATATTAATTAGGATGAATAATTATATAATCCTACTAATTATGATGAAGAATTATATAAAGAATACTGTTGAAGATGAGTTTTATCAAATATAAAGTCACTCCACGTGCCATATTATAGCTGACATAATTTGCCGCAAGGTTTATGAATTTTTAATGAGTATTTTAAGTACTGTTTAATAAACGAGCAGGAGTGTTTTATTAGGTTTAAAACGCGAGGCGCAGTCGAGCGTTTTAGATATGATAAAACGCGAGTTCGAGTGTTTTGAATAGCTTAAAATACGACTACAAAAGAATGCTAATTAGGATGAACAATTATGTAATCATACTAATTAGGATGAAGAATTATATAAAGAATACTAATGAAGATGAGTTTTATCAGATATAAGGTCACTCCACGTGACGTAGTATGGCTGACATGTTTGCCACAAGGTTTATGAATTTTTAACTTGTTTTTATGACAAGGCCAACCAGACAGACTAGAAAAACGTACAATTTCTGACCATATACTGCCTGGTACTTGTCCCAGTCTCCCGCGCTTGAAAAACTGAAAGAAGGACGGGGCTGAAGTATGACACCATCACAGTGACGATGATGAAGTTGGCCAACATGTGTCGTTTCCAGTACTTCGCCCATACGCGACCAACTGGAATATTGTAGTAATGGATTTGCACAAAATTTGAAAGGCAATTGAAAAAGAAGTCGATTCCAATGCCAATTGCAACTCTAGTTAGGGATTCATAAAGGAAAGACCACACCGAAAGTTTAAAACTTTCTACAAAGTACAACACGAAGTAACCTTGGCTTAAAACAAGTGTACTGTATTCAAAAAGCATATCTTGAATTTCTAAGTCGGCTTTTAACCGTCTATAATGCGGTGTATTGCGAGGCAATTCATTAAGTCTTCGACAGCAAACAGTTCGATTCAAAATTGAGATAATGTATCTCCAGAATTTTATCCGTATTCGATGGGTCACCTTTTGCAAAAAGTTCAGAAAACCAGAGAACAGAGATAACCCAATAAACAGCCAAATGTTTTTCAAATCTGCTTGCATTGTGCGGTATAAGTATACGACACCACCTCGGATAAAGTATACCAGGACAAAACTCCGACCGGGGTCAACAACCTTGGAACTTCGTCTCAACGCTATGTGTTTACAAATCACCGCGGGGATAATGGTTAATCCTGGCACCATCACAGCCACCAAGAATTTGTAATTTTCTTTTTTTATGCCATTGAATAAAGGCACTATAGCGTATCTGTAGGTCACTGCCAGTACAGAACATGCGAGGAACTCTGCTGAAACTAAAGCCAAAATATGACCGTTAGAATAGGACAATGTAGAATCGCTGGCTCGAATATTACGAAGCATGAGAATGCTACAGCAGAATATGCCAGAAAAGAACATCACATTTGCAGGATATCTGTAATACATGTGCGTATCGTAGACACCAAATACTAGCAAAAATAAGTAATAAATTATTGTCGTTTCTCCAAAGATAAAACCCACATAAAAAGTGGACATAAACCTCAGTTTAAACTCTTTCCATCCAAATAGAACTACCATTGTTAGCGGAAACCAAAGATTGGCTATTACCGCTTCAATACTGTCACCGATAACGCGAAGTCGTTTTACAGACAATGGTAAAGTGTTATTGTGATACTGCCACTCCAAACAGAGATCAGTTGTGTTTAAATCAATATAAAGAAACACCATTGTGAACGCCGTTGGTGCGAACATAGCGCACGTAATACTTGATGTTGTCCACAAACTTTTCGGAATGGACTCCCAATAACTTCTCCGTTCAGATGAAGCACCATCAAGTCTTGTATAATCTGTCAATACCTCATTAATCAATACCGAACTGAACTGTTCGTTGGTATCAAAGTTTTCGTATTCTTTATTGATATATGGTTGCCATCTATCATCACGTTGTTCCGTGTCAGGTGTTGGTTCTCGAAAAGATACGCGTGGTGTATCGCTCCAGAAAAGCGAAAATAATGACATAAACATACCAATTACTTCTTCCAACATGATATAAACACGATTTAGTGTCAAATCACAAGTACTTCTCTTTGACACTTTGTATATTTTGTCAATATTTCAAGGAATATACAACTGCAGCCAAACAGGAATATGATGTAATCAACTGCACGAGGGAAAGTCCATATATACATAGAGGATATTTATAAGCAATTCGTTTGTAATATAAAATATCCACATGTCGTGATGCATGCAATTTGGACAAATTTATGTCCTACGTTGCTATTCTGTTTCCTATAATATATGTCGGCACTGGACTCATCAATCAGGCTAACGCGTGTGCAAACATATTTGAAGCATTTAAGCCAAAAGATCCACACGACAAATAAAGCTTCGACATGGCTGAATGCATTGCATAATTGACTGATTATTTAGTATTTGAAAGAACAAATATAATTGATATTATATACACAGCTCACGCCCCACTTCCGGTTTCATTGTTGACCGGTTGACCAAAGCCAACCTCGCAATCCGGGCTCTTTCTTCCGCTTCCCTAGACAGGCTGGCCTGCGAGATTTCACCCGTGGTTGTAACCAAAGCATGCAGTGAACATGAAGTTCTGTTCACCGGCACGTGATACGGTTTTGTCCAGTCAGCGAACAGGAAAATTAAACTTTGACAATTGCTATATAATATCGCCACTTAAAGGGTTAAATGCCCTTCAATGTGCACCGAACTGGAGCCTAATAAAGGCCACTTATACGGCAGGAAGAAGGTGTGCAAATGCTACCTTTTTTCCCAGCAACATTAAATACAGGTCTTCAAAACACTGTATCAATGCTTTGTACTCGTTTCTAAGGAGGGGTATGAAATCTTTTTCTAAGAGGGCGCCCTTAACCTTATCATATCATACACAATTTGAACTGCTCGTGTGTGTAAAATTTTAAAAATAGCCTTAATGACCATAGTTAATCGTGTGTGATAGTTATACATTCCCCTATTTCTTTGAAATAGAGGGAACGTTCATGTTAAATATGAAATTTGTATGAAATTAATACAAAGAAAGTATTTGACCCCTCGTAGTCTCGTCACAGTGACACGTCATGTAATGTTGTATTGTTATGCACTGAACGGCAATACAGTAATTCGTTGTCCAGCAAACTAAACCGTGTTTATTTTATTCGAAATAGTACCAATCCATGATGTTGGAAGAAATAGCTGGCATGTTTTTGTCATTATTTTCGCTTTTCTGGAGCGATAGACCCCGCGTATCTTTTCGAGAACAAATTGACTCGGAAGAAGGAGGGGTAGATGATGATAGATGGCAACCGTATATCAATGAAGAATACGAGAACTTTCATACCAACAAACGGTTAAGCTCAGTGTTGGTTAATGGAAGATTAACAGATTATACAAGGCTTGATGGTACTTCGTCTGGACGGAGGACTTATTGGGAGTCGATTCGGAGAAGTTTATGGACAACTCTGAGAATTACGTTCGCTATATTCATACCGACAACTTTGACACTGGCGTTTCTTTTTATTGATTTAAACACAACGGATCTTTGTTTGGAGTGGCAATATCACAATAACACTTTACCATTTTCTGTAAAACGACTTCGTTTGATCGGTGACAGTGTTGAAGCGGTGATAACCAATCTTTGGTTTCCGCTAACAATGGTAGTTTTATTTGGATGGAAAGAGTTTAAACTGAGGTTTTTGTCCACCTTTTACGTCGCTTTTATCTTCGGAGAAACGACAGTAATTTATTACTTATTTTTGCTAGTATTTGGTGTCTACGGTACGAGCGTGTATTACAGATATTCTGCAAATGCGCTGTTCTTTATTGGTATAATCTGCTGTTGCATTCTCGTGCTTCGCAATATCCGAGCGAACCGATCGAGGAATCATACATTGTCCTATTCTAAGTTTCATATTTTGGCTTTAGTTTCAGCAGAGTTCATGGCATGTTCTGTACTGGCAGTGACCTACAGATACGCTATAGTGCCTTTTTTTAATAGCGTAAAACAAGAAATTTACAAATTCTTGGTAGCTGTGATGGTGCCAGGATTAACCATTATCCCTGCGGCAATTTGTAAGCACATAGCGTTGAGACGAAGCTCCGAGGTTGTACACCCCGGCCGGAGTTTTGTCCTAGTGTACATTATCCGAGTATACAGTATACTCTTATACCGCACAATGCAAGCAGATTTGAAAAACATTCGGCTTTTTATTGGGTTATCTCTGTTCTCTGGTTTTCTGAACTTTTTGGAAAAGGCGACCCATCGAATACGGATGAAATTGTGGACATATATTATCTCACTTTTGAATCGAACTGCTTGCTGTCAGGGGCTCAATGAATTGCCTCAAGATACACCGCATTATAGACGGTTAAAAGCGGACTTAGAAATTCAAGATATGCTTTTTGAATACAGTACACTTGTTTTAAGCCAAGGTTACTTCGTGTTGTACTTTGTAGAAAGTTTTCAACTTTCGGTGTCGTCTTTCTGTTTGGAATCTCTGAAAAGAGTTGCAATTGGCATGGGAATCGACTTCTTTTTCAATTGCCTTTCAAATTTTGTGCAAATCCATTACTACAATATTCCAGTTGGTCGCGTTTGGACGAAGTACTGGAAGCGACATAGGTTGGCTAACTTCATCATCGTCATTGTGATAGTGTCATACTTCAGCCCCGTCCTTGCTTCGGTTTTTCAAGCACGGGAGACTGGGACAAGTAACACACAGTATATAGTCAGAAATTGTACATTTTTCTAGTCTGACTGGTTGGCCTTGTCATAAAAACAAGTTAGCCTATAGTGCTATAGATATAGGTGGATTTCACCAACCCTTTGACATGGTGCTCACATGGTAATAAATTGGACAGTATATGATACAATGTCTTTGGTTTTGCCATCAGACACAAGGTGAATTCTAGCTTATAGTGAACAATTTCGCCGCGCACAACACTGCAGTCGAACGTAAAGCGCATGCGCGCGTATACAGAAATGGCGGGAAAAATGTCTGCCAAAATATTATGAGTAAATACGGGAAAAGAAAGCGTTTACTATAAGGAAACGGCTGAAGTTATAAGGTCGGGAATTTCAACGCCTTTTCCTTGTGACAAAACGAAGTTATGCTGAGTTTAAACACTCGTAATTTTCTTTAATTAAACTTTTTGCTAGAGCTTCGTGAAGACAATACTATTTCCAGTCTTTTGAATGTCAAGCAGTAAATACGCGCGGACGTTTCACCGCGGTGTTTTGGTGTTGCCTACACTGTCTCTCTTGGTGGCACACTGCAAAATCGAGTGTAATCTATTTAACTCAAGGCTTATGCCAAACTTTGTTTATGTAAGACAAGCTTATGCATGTACTACTTTATATATAAATACAAATGCATATAACGAACTGTACTGTATATGAAGAGCTGGACCGTATATCATGAACTAAGTAACTAAGTAAAAACTTTATTCCACGAGGTAAACGTATTAACCATAATACTTGATGTTGTCCACAAACTTTTCGGAATGGACTCCCCAATAACTTCTCCGTTCAGATGAAGCAGCATCAAGCCTTGTATAATCTGTTAATACTCCATTAATCAATACCGAACTGAACTGTTCGTTGGTATCAAAGTTTTCGTATTCTTTATTGATATATGGTTGCCATCTATCATCTCGTTGTTCCGTGTCAGGTGTTGGTTCTCGAAAAGATACGCGTGGTGTATCGCTCCAGAAAAGCGAAAATAATGACATAAACATACCAATTACTTCTTCCAACATGATATAAACACGATTTAGTGTCAAATCACAAGTACTTCTCTTTGACACTTTGTATATTTTGTCAATATTTCAAGGAATATACAACTGCAGCCAAACAGGAATATGATGTAATCAACTGCACGAGGGAAAGTCCATATATACATAGAGGATATTTATAAGCAAATTCGTTTGTAATATAAAATGTCCACATGTCGTGATGCATGCAATTTGGACAAATTTATGTCCTACGTTGCTATTCTGTTTCCTATAATATATGTCGGCACTGGACTCATCAATCAGGCTAACGCGTGTGCAAACATATTTGAAGCATTTAAGCCAAAAGATCCACACGACAAATAAAGCTTCGACATGGCTGAATGCATTGCATAATTGACTGATTATTTAGTATTTGAAAGAACAAATATCAATTAGATGTATGTAGTTTGTTTTCCACATTTTCCCTCCTTTTCTTTGGCTTATATACCTATAAAAACGCCAAATTTGGGTATTGTTTACATCAGAGGGCCCTCCGGCAGACATGCTGAAACTTTTGACAGATATGCTGAAACTCTTGAAAGAACTTTGTACTTGCCGGTTGGTGCCTCTCTCCTCCGCAGAGGCTTTTGCAACCTCGTACTCGGGGCTAGCTTCAACTCGCGGCTAGCCCTGGGTACGAGGTTGAGGCTTCTGTTTGCTACGATTACGATTAGTATAGAGATACATTTCACTAAACTTTACATGGCGGATCTTGGAACACGAGCGGAGCCGCTGGGCCAAGGAGCGCAGGCGGGAAAGAGGGTTGGTGCGAACACAGCTCGCGCCCCACTTCCGGTTTCATTGTTGACCGGTTGACCAAAGCCAACCTCGCAATCCGGGCTCTCTCTTCCGCTTCCCTAGAGAGGCTGGCCTGCGAGATTTCACCCGTGGTTGTAACTAAAGCATGCGCATGCAGTGAACATGAAGTTCTGTTCACCGGCACGTGATACGGTTTTGTCCAGTCAGCAAACAGGAAAATTAAACTTTGACAATTGCTATATAATATCGCCACTTAAAGGGTTAAATGCCCTTCAATGTGCACCGAACTGGAGCCTAATAAAGGCCACTTATACGGCGGGAAGAAGGTATGCAAATGCTACCTTTTTTTCAGCAACATTAAATACAGGTATTCAAAACACAATGTATCAATGTTTAGTACTCGTTTCTAAGGAGGGGTATGAAATCTTTTTCTAAGAGGGCGCCCTTATCATATCATACACAATTTGAACTGCTCGTGTGTGTAAAATTTTAAAAATAGCCTTAATGACCATAGTTAATCGACCGCTCCCTTACATCATCATCTTGTGTGATAGTTATACATTCCCCTATTTCTTTGAAATAGAGGGATAGTTCATGTTAAATATGTAATTTGTATGAAATTAATACAAAAAAAGCAATTGACCCCTCGTAGTCTCGTCACAATGACACGTCATATAACGACTAATGTTGTACTGTTATGCACTGAACGGCAATACAGTAATTCGTTGTCCAGCAAACTAAACCGTGTTTATTGTATTTGAAATAATACCAATCCATCATGTTGGAAGAAGTAGCTGGCATGTTTTTGTCATTATTTTCGCTTTTCTGGAGCGATAGACCCCGCGTATCTTTTCGAGAACAAATTGACTCGGAAGAAGGAGGGGTAGATGATGGTAGATGGCAACCGTATATCAATGAAGAATACGAGAACTTTCTTACTAACGAACAGTTAAACTCAGTGTTGGTTAATGAAAGATTAACAGATTATACAAGGCTTGGTGGTGCTTCCTCTGGGCGGAGAAGTTATTGGGAGTCGAGTCGGAAAAGTTTATGGACAACTCTAAGTGTTACGTTCGCCATATTCCCTTCAACGGTTTTCATAATACGGTTTCTTTATGTTGATTTAAACACAACGGATCTTTGTTTGGAATGGCAGTATCACAATAACACTTTACCATTTTCTGTAAAACGACTTCGTGTCATCGGTGACAGTGTTGAAGCGGTGATAATCAATCTTTGGTTTCCGCTGACATCTGTAGTTCTATTTGGATGGAAAGAGTTTAAACTGAGGTTTTTGTCCACTTTTTATGTCGCTTTTATCTTCGGAGGAATGGTAATAATTTATTACTTATTTTTGCTAGTATTTGGTGTCTACGATACGCACATGTATTACAGATATCCTGCAAATCTGCTGTTCTTAACTGGCATAATCTGCTGTAGCATTGTCATCCTGCGCAACATCCGAGCGAACCGACCGAGCAATTATACACTGTCCTATTCTAACGGTCGTGTTTTGGTTTTAGTTTCAACACAGTTCCTCGCATCTTCCATACTGGCATTTACCTATAGATACTCTATAGTGCCTTTTTTTAATAGCATAAAACAAGAAAATTACAAATTTATGGTGGCTGCGATCGCACCGGCGCTGACCATCATTCCTGCGGTGATTTGTAAGCACATAGCGTTGAGACAAAGTTCCGAAGTTGTAGACCCCGGCCGGAGTTTTGTCCTAGTATATTTTATCCGAGGTGGTGTCATACTCGTATACCGCACAATGCAAGCAGATTTGAAAAGCATTTGGCTTTTTATTGGGTTATCTCTGTTCTCTGGTTTTATGAACTTTTTGGAAAAGGCGACCTATTGAATACGGATAAAATTGTGGACATACATTATCTCACTTTTGAATCGAACTGTTTGTTGTCAAGGGCTCAATGAATTGCCTCAGAATACACCGCATTATAGACGGTTAAAAGCCGACTTAGAAATTCAAGATATGCTTTTTGAATACAGTACACTTGTTTTAAGCCAAGGTTACTTCGTGTAGAAAGTTTTCAACTTTCGGTGTCATCTTTCTGTTTGGAATCTCTGAAAAGAGTTGCAATTGGCATGGGAATCGACTTTTTTTTCAATTGCCTTTCAAATTTTGTGCAAATCCATTACTACAATATTCCAGTTGGTCGCGTTTGGACGAAGTACTGGAAACGACACATGTTGGCTAACTTCATCATCGTCATTGTGACAGTGTCATACTTCAGCCCCGTCCTTCTTTCGGTTTTTCAAGCACGGGAGACTGGGACAAGTAACAGACAGTATATAGTCAGAAATTGTACGTTATTCTAATGACCTCGTCATAGAACTAAGTTAGCCAATACTGCTATATACAGCTGGGTTTTACTAGTAAGACTTTCAAATGTCAATTGACACTAGATACGAGTACATGTCTTTGCCAAAGTCAATACATGTTAGTGAACAATTTAGCTGTGCGCTACACTGTTGCGCGATCACAAATTATTGACAAGTTGTTAAGCTTGTCAACAGGATGTGTTCGCACTGCTTGTTCCCAGCTTGTTGACAACTTGCTACAACCTTGTTGAGCTCAACAGACTTGTTACAAGTTGTTTCAACAACTTGTTATCGTCCTGCAATTCAACAATTTGTCACAAGTTGTGACTGACAACCTTGTTGCAACTTGATAAAATAACAGCATTGTTACAACTCGTTGACAAGCTTGCTACAAGTCTGTTGCGAACACATCTTGTTGACAAGTTGTGAGATTTTCACGTTTGTAAGCAAGACTTTACACACAGTTCACGCGGTTGAAGACGAATTCGAAACCGTTCTATCAAAATTTGCAAGATTGCATTTTTTATCCTGCAGGATGCATAAAAGACCAAACAAAAATATGAAAAACATCTCCGAGCACAGCTGGCTGCGAATTCGTTTGTGAACAATATTGCAACTGGGCAAATTTTCGTACGGTTCCGAAATCGTCCGATCTTCTGTGAACCAGGAGTCGCAGTAATTGACTTTCTGCCGTTGTAGTATCCCTGTCGTATTACTATTAGTTTCCTCGCTTTTTTTTTCTTTTTTAATTGCATGTAATCTAATAAAAAAGGATAATTATAATTTATTGTCCAGCAAAGTGGCGGTCAACTTCAGAAGTAATGTTCACAAAGGGTTCGTTCAGTTTAAAGAAAGTCGTATTACAAATATTACAAATACAAAAACAAATACACAAAGCTTAGGCCCGTCACATACGCCGTACTTCACATGTGTCGGTCCACTCGATCATACGGCGTATTTTATTCAGGCGATTTTCTTGGTTGATTCAGATGCCGAACTCTTGCGGTACTTAATTCTTGAATTGACCTGATTTGGCACGTGTGAAATAACGGGTATGAAATGGCCTTCAATGGTAATAGCGCGAAAACGAGGTGAGAGAAAAACAGGACTGGTGTCTCAATTGATAATTGGCGTCCCAATTACTGTTTTACATTTACTAAATGAACGAAAAGAACAAATGTTTCACCTACAATTTATAGAAATGCTCAAATACACAATCTTGCGAAAGTACTGACTTCGACGATGTGAGCCGCGGATAGTCTGATGTGCACTCCTGTCGACACGCATACTTAAAGGGCACAACCCCCCCCCCCCC